GGGCTTCTGGCCTTACTACTAGGAGCAGGGACGCTACGTTTGGGGCTCCTGGCACGTGGACACGCGGCCAATCCATGGCGCCAGGTGGGTGACTGGTCGCAGGCACTGTCACTGCTTTGGGAGATGTCCACCTCGGACGAGAAGATCTTGCAATTCTCTTGGGGTGCAGCCATTAGCGCATGCCGAAGCGAATGGATATTGGCTGCAGAACTCTTGTGTAAGATGCGCCTTCACAGCAGTCTTGAAGTGTGTACATCAGGGAGTTGCAAAGAAGAGACAGAAGCGCATAACTGCATAACCTCATAGGACCCCAAGTGTTTCCAAATAGATGATGCTCAAAGAGACTTGGCATCGTTCCGTGTTTGTGGCTTGGTGAGAAGAACGCATCAGCGTACGCCCAACCCGAGGTTCACTGCATCGCTCCAAGTGGAGATGGTCTCCAGCGCCTTGGGCCCAATGCCGTAGTGGCATTGCAAATGAAACGTGGGCGCAAAGCACTCAGAGGGTCCAACCAATTCAAGTTATTTTGCTCCACTCGTGCTCCACGTCCGCTCACACCCCTTCAATTTTAACACCTCCACAGAACAAGCTCTTGACATAGACCGCGTTCACCTCGTTCGGGCTGTGTGTCTCCCCGGACCGCCGCACAGTGTTTGAGGCCACTTCCGTATGTTGGGCTCATTTTGAACCCAGGAGTCGCCTATACAAACGACCAGTTCGTGAGGTAGTTCGACTGAGGCACTGCCGCTGCGGCGGCCGCCCTGGCCGAATCCTGGAGGATTGCGGTGTCCATGCTCAGCTCGTCTCATCGCCTGCGCATGGACATGGACGAGGCACCTGGGAACTTGACGGTTTGGTGACACGGTTTGCTTTAAAAGGCATGGAAAGGGCTTCACGATGCTTAGTAGTGAATGCCATGCTTTAAGAGATGCGTTACCTCGGCGCGCGCGCGCGCTAACAGGAAGCACATCACATAAACTTTCATCAAATGACTCTTGACTGCTTTTCCTTTATCTTTCTGTCTTTTATGTGTTCTTCTTTGTTTCTACTAGCGATGGCCTCCAACCCAATAGCAAACTACTTTTGACGAGCCGTTTTCCTCCCCCAGAACATCCAATCTTCTCACCTCCGACCACCTCACATCTCAACACTTGCCAGAAGAGTTTTTTGCTGGCGTTCAACGGACTGCGGAACAGCCAGCAGTGCATGGACGTGCTGGAGGATTTTGACGCATCGTGGCTGCAGTGTGTCGGATCTAGGAGGCTGAAGAAGCTTCGATCTTCGCCACAAAAAAGGTCGACACATCTGTGATGGAGCTACCCTGTCGACAGTTGAAGTCAACTAGCCTAAGATAGCCGCATAGCAAGAACGCTTCAGACAAGAGAAGTCACCAGCTCATACCAGCTCCTGTTCCAAACGTTTCGCGCCTCTTCAATTCCTCTAGCCTTGCACCCCGATATTAGTTAAGTTTCCCTAAAGAGCTAGGAACCAAGTGCGAGCGCTTCTTCGAGGAAGCGTAAGCTACCCATAGTGCTACCCATCCTAAGTAGTAGCTACTTAAGCTACTATATAGCTACCTGGCTACTAGCTACCTACCTCTACTCGCGGCCTAACCACCCTTTTTAGAAAAATGAAGTATTAAAAAAAATATATATATATATTAAATTATGATATATATATATATATAGTAACACCTCCAAAAAAGGAAAAACAACTCGCCCAGGACTTGGTGTCTCGGTCGGTGTCCTTCCGGCCCTGGGCCTTGGCCTCTTCAGCCTCGAGGGATCCAGGCGCTTTACATGCTGCTTTCGTGGAGGCGTGGAACGGACCGAAGGGGAAGTGAAACGCGAAGTGAAACGGAAGACGTCGGCAGTGAAGTTTGGATCATTTGCTTCGGACATCGAAGTTCGAACGGTCTCTCTCTCTTTCTCTGTCGGAAGGTCATGTTGAAGCCATGACTTTTGCTTCGCGTCGTGATGGCCTTTCGAAAGATATCATCCTGAAGCTGCTTAGCAGCTTAGCATCTGAGCAGGCCAAAAACCATTCATTCTGTTTTGCCTGCAGTTCTCAGTCACATGGCCGCTGACAGGCAGCCGATCGTATCGAGAAGGAAGTAGTTGAGCCAATGGAGTTGGCCAGCCTTTGGTGTTGACCTCAGATGACACCAAGCCTCAGATGGCTTCACCACTTCCATGGCATTCACACATTTTGCATTGACATGTTTCTTGGGTTGAGGCAGGTGGCGCTTTCTCAAAAAAAAACATATGCAAAAGATGAGAAGGAGCCATAGCCTATAACACTTCAAAGACCTTTTTCTGTATACGTTCCTGCGATCAGTTGTGTAGCTGCATCTTTTAGGGATTTGACTGCCATGCAGCCCATTGTTTGGTCCTTGCAAGGTGGGCCACATCAGTGGCCGCGCGCTCAGCCTTCGCCTAAAGCGGCCGCGCGCTAAAGCTGCAGGCCGCGCGTGTTTTTCGATGTCGTCGCCGGAGGTTGGAGCGAAGAATCGGAAGTGGACGCAGATCTTGAGCGTCTCGGCGTGGAAACCTCGGTCAGACCATGCGGCGCAAAGCTACGAAACAAAGGGCATCGCGACTCGAACGGAGCGATCGGACGCTACGTTCGGGGCTCCTGGCCTTACTACTAGGAACAAGGACGCTATGTTCGTAACAAAGGGCATCGCTAGTCGTTTTCTCTAGAGCTATTGCTGTGTGACTTTGGTGATTTGTTCGGACAGCTGGGCCGATCAATGTGGCGATGCTTGTGCCAAGGCCAACGGGCACTGGAGCAAATTCACCAGTTTACCTTCGATGAGTTGCTGGTGGTGATATGGGGAGCTTGTGGCACAGCGTGTGACGCTCACCGTGAGACCGGGGAGAGACTGGGAGAGGGTGCCATATGCTACCATGACAGCGCCAGCTCTGGGAGGGGTTTGGTCGATTTTGTCAGGATGCTGTGGTCCAGCTGTGCTTTCAAAAAGAAATGGCCGACCGCTTGGCCAACTTCGACACTTGGAATGCAGTTCGCCACTACACTTGGCCCTTCTCGCAATTCGGGGTGGTCATGAGGGTCATGGCCATCCTTTCCATTTGCACCGTCAACGGAAGAACCACCCCCAACACTCACTAGTACACTCACTGTACCCCCTCACTGCGGACTTCGAAAGGGATGTCGAAAGGACCGAGCACATCCCAGCACCAACAGCCGGAGCCGGAAAAACCGCTGCAAGAACGGAAGATTGGGTTGTGAAAGATAGAGGAGCTTCCGAGAGAGGCGACTGGCATCCTTCGCTCCACGAAGCTACGAACAGGGGCTCCTGGCCTTACTACTCGGAGCGATCGGATGCTACGAACGGGGGCTCCTGGCATTGCTACTAGGTCCTAGGTGCATTCTTACTACTATAAGTAACTAACTACTTCGGTTGAAGTCCAACCGGATGGTTCTGTGTCGCACCTCCGAGCTCGGAGAACCTCCGGTGTCAGGAGTGGTCTCACCTGCCTGCACGCTTCGGCCAGAGGGTGGCCTTAGATGCCCTAGGCCAGTGTGGGGAACTGGGGAGGGGGGAGAACATGGAGAATCTATTTGCATCTATTTGCCATTTGACATGTTCATGTGTGAGTTGACAACCTCTTGCTGCTTTTTGGGAACACGTCATCCTCTTAAGGTCGTAATCTTAGAGACAGACCGACAGACTACGCTCCAGGCTCATTGTGGGCGTGCACCTATTCTGGAACCCTCACTGGCGAAGCATCGCAATGGATCCGTTCCTCCTTGTCACGCCTGGGAGGCGCCAGACGCGACCAACGCGCCGTCTTCGCCAACGGCGTCCGGCCGCGCCAGGTCAGTTGGACGGAGGTCCGTCAGCCCACGGGTGCCGGGCCCCCGCGGCGGTCCCCGAAGACCTCCACGTCACGGCGCCGCACATCGTGATGGATACAGGGGACAGCCACTGGGAAAAAGACCGGTGCGATGGTTGACACGGTTCTCATGTCACACAAGGTGCATGGACATGGTCAATTGACATTATAGTTATTATAACTTACTATCTGTATATAAATGTTTTAAAGAATATCTCATGTTCAAAATCTAGATAGATGATGATAGATGTTGTTCTTGGCTGTTTCTTTCTGCTTGTTCCTCCGAGCGCAGCGGTACCTGAGGAGTGGTGCTCTTCAAACCGCCAGATTGGGAGGTGCACGATGCCAATGCCGAGCTGCAGCTGGCCAGCTTCATGGAGGCCATGTTCGGGAAGCTGCCCATCCTCAGAGATGAAGCGCATGAACACGGTTTCTCAGAAAAAGCACGAACACGGCGAACACGGGACATTCCGGGACATTGTTTGAGGTGCAAGATATCGTGCTAGAAACATGTGCCGCGCAGCACGGATTCAAGATTCAGATGAAGGCATGACATGGCACGACTAATTATGATCTAACATTCCTTGTTCTCTCGATTGGACGAGGTCCCTGAGCCCCTGCACTCATCACAATTCATCACTCGTCCCCAGTCAACAAGCAGCGAGAGAGAGAGAGAGATATATAGAAGACCGACATCCGGTAGGCCCTGTCGGAGTTCAGGCGCGTTTAGCGGCGGACGGAAGGGTCGACGACGTGTGGTCGTGGTCGTGCTGTCCCTACGTCTAAGGCTTCTTGCATCGCTTGGATGTGCCAAGTTCGGGCCTCATTTTGGCCGCCAAGTCCTTTGAGGCCTACTACGACTTGCAGGCGTGACCTTCATGTGACTGGAGGCTAAGGGGTGTCCAAAAGAACACCGGGTAAAAGGAAGGTCCTGGTAGGATGCATCCACATGGATCGAAGGAAGCAGCGTCCCGAACGGAAGCAGACGGAGGGATGGACGTGTGCGCGTCGAGGTGCAGCTGGTGACACGACGAGTTCCACGGGAAGCTTGGCCAAGTCGCGGCATCAAGTAGCCTACCTAGGCATTGTTCCAAGTTCTTGTTCGACTTGTTTTAGAAAAAATATAGGGATGCCGTGGCCTTGCCTCGAACCCTGACAGCCAAAAAAAAGAATAAAGCCAATCTCACAGCGAATCCTAAGGATTACTTGGTGCTTTGTCATGGTTGGATGGAGGCACATTTGAGTGAAATCACCGCACAGGCCCGGCGCGCGTCGATCCCGATCCGCGCGCCGTCTTGGACCGCCGGTCGGCCGAGGTGGTCATCGAAGATGGCGGTCGCACCGTGTCGGGCGGTCGAGGCAAACCAACGCTGACACATGTGAAGGCGGGGAGTGGTCCTTTCGGATTTGCACACGTCAGCCCGAAGGCTTGGGCTCTATAGACGCTTTCAAGCGCCATTTGTCGAGGTCCTGGCTCATGCGCGTCACCCGAGCTCGAAGATGAGTTTGCTGGTGATCCGCCCCCTGGACGCGCCATCGGGTCGTCGGGTCGTCGGCGAGAAGGGTCGGTCATGGAGCGCTGCGCCCGGTGGCTGCGGCCGAGGCATCGGAACGGGACGACGGCATCAGATTCGATCTCACTTGGCGCATCTGGGACATCCCAGCGCGACCTGGCGAGAACCGGAAGGGCTGACCTTGAAAAAGGTCTAAGAGGGATTTGATATAGATAGGGGTTGCAGCATGAATGAATGGGCTAGTGACAAGAAAGCTACTAGGGGTTCCTGGCCGCACTACTAGGGGGCAAGGACGCTACTAGTAACAAGAAGCTACTAGTTGTGAGCACGGCGTCGGTTGTTCAGATCGCTAGCGGTGGCGGACCCAGGTGACGGATGGGCGATATTCTTCGCTTTGGACCTTCTTGCTGGACGTGCAGATCTGCCAGCGCAACTTTTTGCACCGGTGCCTTGCGAGCGGGCGAATGGCGCGCCGCGACGTAGGCGAGAGCGGCTGATGGGCCTTGTGGACCGTCCATTTCCGCGCCACAGTACCCTTATAAGTTTAGTTCCTAGTAAGCAAAACTACTGGATCCGATGTAAGTGAATGTAAAGATTCACAGATCACTGGGCCGTAGCTGCATTGCATAGCGCCTGCTGAGGTACTACTTGGGTTTTGGTGATGAAATGGGGACCTGTCGGCGGGTGTGGAGTTCGGTGCCGCCAGATCTACAGGAGATGCTGCTGTCATTACAGGGTCGATCGGCTGCAATGCCCGTCGGACGGCAGGTTTTTCCGGTTTTCGACGAACTCTACCGAAGGTCTTGGGAGGACTGAGTCACTGGGTCTCATCCAACACAAGGAACTAATTCAGAGTTCTGCTGAGAGCTCTGAACACGTGAACACCGGACACGGCGAATCCGAGAGAGAGAGAGAGAGTATCACAGAGAGAGACGTTTTTGTCCCCGTTCCAGGCAAAACTCCAGAATGCCATGATGGCCTTCTTGCTTGGACCAAGACAGCCAAGCCAAAGGACTTTTCGCAACATGAAGCGAGAAAGAGCTGTGGAAGGGGATCAAAGGGGCCTGTCTTGGAGGCCGCCAATTGCAACGATAGACTTCATGTCCTTTCAAGTTTCTCCGTGCCTCCTATGTCATTTTTCTGTTATCATGACTGCCTATTCGAGAGGAAATTACGGTGGGCTGCGGCTGCTGTTCTAAAATCGAGGTCATTCAGGCTCCATAGTTACATCATCCTGTAATCAATTATTCATCCCTACTAATCTCTACCTGGACCTTCCAGTTCGTACCTTTCAACACATGGCACCTGAGCCACCGCCCTCCCCGTCCCGTTCGCCCGAGGTCCGGCCGAGCCTCGCTCGAGCGGCCGAGGCGTGGAGGAACTCCGATCGTTCCCTTCGGGTTGTATTTTCACTCCATGTAATATGTACACTTTGTACCATGCACGTAGTAGGATGTCATGTAGACCTACCTTTCGCAGCTCGCGGCCCAAAACAGGAGTTGCAGCTTAACGGCTGTTTCTATAGGTTATCAGCCGTAGTGCTCTAACCACAGCCATGGACGCTCTCGCCATTCCTGGAAACGGCACATCATCGGTAGCAGTCCCAGCCGGTCTCATGACTGAGCCCACGGTGGATCTAGATGACCCCATGGGTTCAGCTCCTGTCACAGCTTACTTTCAGTTCGTTCAGCAAAACATCCAACAAGTGTACAACGGAAACGAAGATGCTATTATTGCTGAGGCAGAGAGAAGGCACAAAGAGATAATGGGACAATGGTTGGAAATGGTAAAAACCAAGTTTCGTCAAGCAATCGATGAAGTAGCGAGCAAGCATCATGAGGAACTCAGTTCGGTAAGGCAACAAGCTCAATCTAGCTACAACCAAGTGCAAGGGGAACTAAGTGCCGCAAAAGCACGAATCCTTAAGCTAGAGAGTGAAAGGTCCATTGAAGCTGAAGCCAGAAAAGCAGAACTGGACTCCTTGCGCATTCAGCTCATGCACGATTGTCAGCAAACTGTCACTGCCATCACCAGCGGTGCCGAGCAAGGTGTGGCAACGCTTCGTGCAGAGTTCGATGAGCGGGAAACTCAGCTTCGACGTGAGCTATGCGACGCAGAAAATGAAAACTATAGCCTGCAGCAAATGCTCGATGACCTTAAAGCCAAAATGCATGCTGGACCCGAGCTAGAGTACCATCCAACAAGTGTCATGAACACACCAGTGTCTACCCCTAGGCATGATGACACAAAGAGGAAAAAATCCTCTGGAGACCATTGCAGCAGAGGCTACTGCACGTTTGAGTGGACTGTTCGCACCCAAAGCGCCGACGGCCACCATCATCGGTGATGCCCCACCAGGGGCAGCTGCTCCTATCAAGCCCGTGCTTCCAGTTTACGGAGGCACAGCAGCGGATGGGGGCAAAACACCGACAAATTTGTTCCATAGCCCTGCACCTTCAATTCGCGAACCCCATAAGCCAGCGTCATCAGGTGCTATCACCTCTGAGCAGGTGATTGAATTGGTCAAGTCACTCACTCAGAGAGAGTCAGATGAGAAGCCAAAGGTAAAGGAGGCAGATCATATCAAGCTGAATGACATGCCAACCCCTGAAACCTATCGGCAGTGGAAACATCATGTGAGGGACGAAATCAAGTCATGTTCTGACAAACCAGATGCTGCCTGGGACTGGTTAATGGAGGTTTACAACACTGTTGATGAGAGGAAAGTTCTGGAAGAGCGGTTGTCTAACCCTGGGAAGTTCACAACGTTGGATACCAAGTTGGCAGCTGCACTGACCAGAAGTGCAAAGGGTGATCTAGCAAACCGAATCATCAATTACAAAGAAGAGAAGGCAAAGCTAGGCATCCAGGTTCGAGGAAGGATGATTCTTCTCATGTTCGATGACTATTTCAAGACCTCGGAAGAAGCGGGTAGCCTCTACAGGGTTGAAGATCTCCTTAATGTGGTAAAGGTAGGCGATACTGTAGCGGACTTGAAGCGTTTCATCAACCGCTGGGACGCTACCATCGCTGGTATGCCCGAACCACCGCATGAAAACGTGCTTCGAGACATCCTTTTAAGGCAGATCCGCACTAGCACAATCCTGAGGTACGACATTGATCTCTTCGATCGCGCAAAAGAAGGTGACCATCATCGGTCTTACAAGTTCCTACTGCAAAGCATCAAGGATCTGATAGATCGGGAACGCCTTCGTGAGAATCGATCACGTATCGCGGAGCGAAATCGGCTCAAGCCAGGTGATCGACATGAGAAGAATGCAGCCCCTACTGTTGATCCTCGGCGAAAGCGTTCGCCATCGCGCGGACGATCCACTTCTCGGGAAAAGGGCATTTGTTGGGCCTTTTTGGAGGGAAAGTGTGCAAAAGGGAAAGATTGCAAGTTCAAGCATGAAAAGCCCAAGCGTGACCCTTCCAAGAAGCGCCAACCATCCCGGGAGCGGAATGAGTCGAGGGACAAAAGCACAGATAAGGAAAAGAAGCGGATGACTAAGGAAGAGATGGCGAAGACCCCATGCAGGTACGATCAACAAGGTACATGCAGAAGAGGAGACAAGTGCTTTTTCAAACATGGAGAAAAGGCAGCACCGGCTCCGAAAACGAAGCCAAGAAAGGATTCCCCAAAGCCAAAGGCAAAAGGAGATACCAAGAAGGCTGCCATTTGCCTGAGCAATCGGTTTGCATGTCTTGCAACTGGTGTGCCCGGACGATCATGTCTCAAGAAGTCCTGTCTTCCTCCAGCGAGAAAGAGGTCTAAGTCGTCTGTCCGAAGAACTACATTCGTTATGAAACCTGAAATTCGCACCATCCCTGCTCGCGGGGAACATTGCAAGATGGTCAAGCGTGAGCGCAAGTACAGTGTGCATTTTGCCACGAGCGATCGCGTGCCCAAGAGCGACCCAAAGGCAGCCCACATGGCCAAGGTGAAAGCTAGGCAGTTGGCTGAAGTTGTTCGAAGCTTTGATAGCGCAACAGTGCCCTCATGTTGTTTCCTGTGCACCGAATCGTCGCTTACTTGTCGTGAGTGTCGAAGCTTGATCAAGTTGAAAACATGTCCTACTACCATCCCGACAATAGTTGCTGGTCCAGCACCAAGGGAAGGCAGGTTCTCATGGCTCGTCGATTCCGGGAGTGAGCAAGACCTCCTCAGCAGAAAAGTTATGGATGCTGCTGGTGCGGAGAACCCAAGACGGGCTCCTCACACCATCAGTCTGATTACTGCAAATGGGTCGACCGAAGCCAGCGAGGTAGCTGATGTCAAGATGAAGCAGCTGCTGGAGCCTTGCACGCCGTATTTGCTGGATGAATGCCCGGCTGTGCTCTCAGTTGGCATTAAATGCCTTGACCAAGGGTATAGTTTCGTGTGGCCAGCAAACGGTACTCCGATCCTTGTGCGACCAGATGAGAAAATCGTTCAACTTCGTGTTGATGGTCATGTCCCAGTCCTCGACTCCGAGTGCAAAGTCTTTGGAAAGGGCAAGTTCAAGAAGGATAAGCCTCTGAAGAAGCTGTTTGCTATGCCGGGAGCAATCTCGAGCCCATCGGATAAGAAAGAGGATGAGGGCATTGACGAGGAAGTGCCAGACGACGAAGAGAGCCGTTTGGTGCGATCAAGAAAAGTTGGAGACTTGATGCGTGAAGCACAGTCCGCAAAACACCAGTATCACCACTTCCCCAAGAACCCATTCTGCAAAGTGTGTCAGCGAGCGAGGATGCTTGCACCACAGGCACGAAAGAAAGGGGGTGAAAGCCGCATTCAGACTAAGGCTTTCGGCGATCATCTGATCGCCGACCACGTCGTCGTGCGCGCGAACATCGAAGAAGGGAGTCGTGGCGAACGGGTAGCTTTGGTTGTGAAAGACCTGCATACAAAGTTCCGGAGTATTTACCCATCCCAGTCAAAGAGTTCGGATGAGGTAGTGATTGCTCTTCAGCATTTTGTTGCCCCGGATGATGCAGTCGAGGTCATTTACACTGACAATTCCCGTGAGCTGATAGCTGGTATCAAGGAGTTAGGGTATCGCCACCAAACCTCCGTTGAGTACGTGGACTCCTCCAAGAGCTTCATCGAAAGGGAAGTTAGGAACATGCTTGAGGGAGCACGCACCAATCTTGTTCAGTCCGGAATGCCCCTCCAGTACTGGCCACTCGCCATTCAACATTTTGCAATGGCAACAA